CAGAGTTCACAGGTTTGAGGCCAGTCGCTTCCAGGTCCATTGATGAAAGAGCAGCTGATTGGATGTTTGCTGAAAGCTCTGGGCCAGAGAAAATGTTTGGCTGTCCCGCTGCTCTGTGAGCACACACACACTGTTGTTCCTTCACAAAGACAGGAAACACACCGCTATGTGATGTCATTGAGGGGTGAGGTCAATGCCGCTGTGTGGGCGGGGCTTGCAGCAGACAGGAAGTGCAGGCGCTTCCCTGTGTAAACAGAGCTGCCCTGAGATCAGCCTCCTGCTATTGTTCTAAGCGAATGCCTTGCTCAGAGGCTGCTGGGAGGGAAATAGCCCCGTACTGCAGACAGGGTGGCTGTAGCTCAGGAGATCCCTCGCACTCCCTCTGAGTGGCTGAACGAGGCATGTTACATCTCGGACAGGCGTCCAAGTCAACATAACCTCTGCTGCATTGCAGTTCACCTGCTTCTCTCTGTCCAATTAAATCAAAACACAGACTCAGGTGCTGCTCGAGTGCAGAGACCCTTCAAGGAACAGTTAGGGAGCACGTGAATTGCCAAACTTCAAACCAGGGTAGTGATGCAGCGCGTGCTCCTCAGCTCAGCCTCAGATTTTAGGACGGACAAAACTACGTCCTATATGTTCAAATATTTACAGCTCTGTCTGCGTGTGGCGACGTTTGATGCTGAGGATGCAGGTCCAGGTTCATTATTTCAGTCACAATCACCTCAAATGCCTTTGCATGTGCTTCACACCTGAGTTTTGTTCCTCCTATTGGTGCAGTACATTCTAGTCGCACCTACCACCCCCCACCCCAAGGTTGAAAAATGAGCACTGACCAAACCCTGCAGTCCCTCTACTGTCCACCAGAGGCTTCAGCAGAGGGTTCAGCCCGCATAGACTCGAGTTTTCAAGCAGTGTTAATTCTGACAGCAAGTTTCTTGTCGACTAAACATCAGGAGACTGCAGCACACTTAGGCTACGTTCGCACTAATACGTTCTCGTTTCAAAACGCATAATTTTCTCTCTGTTTTGGCCTCCCGTCCACACTGAGACGGCCTTTTCATTCAAGAAAAACACACTTGAAAACATACATTTGAAAACTGTTTGTTCTTTTGTGTCGCAGTGTGGACAGCGCAACCGCAGACTTTTTGAAAACAATGACACATCAGATCACTTTTATTTTCACATCATATGTGCAGGTACACGGGTACAGAACACGCGAGTGAAATTCTTGTGTGCCAGCTTCACAAGCAACGGAAGTGTGGAAAAATACAAAAACATAAGAACAAGCAAATATAAGAATGGCTAAATCTGAGTCTCACATTTTAGTCATGTGATGCAGTCATGTGACCAATTAAACTAAGATAGCGGGGGACATTATACAGCAGTTGTTTTGTTTGACTGCCCTGTTAAAGATTAATATCAGCCTGTACGCGCTTCAGAGAGCTTTTCTTCAAATTCTTTAATTCTCACTCGCTTTTGCAACTTTGTACTTTTGTGTTACTCGCAGCAACAACTCCACCTCATTGTGAGTCCATTTAAAAACCTTATTGCCGAAGTTTCAAAGAGCCGGAACGTAAATAAACCTAATTAGTTAATGTTAGTTAACCTAATTAGTTCTGATTGGATCTCGTCTGTCCAGAATGTTTTCGTCTCGTTTTAACTGAAGTGTCGATACATTTCATCGCTGTTTTTGTCCTCGTGTGTTAGTTTTATGTAGTTTACACGGATATGAGGAAAAATAAACCTTGAATGTTCAGTGAGGGTTTCACACAAAGGACTGAAAAACTGAAAGCAGACGGGCTTCAGCCTGCAGTCTGCTTCCTCGGACTCTCTGTGTGAAACAGAGCTAACCTATTTTAGCCATTGATTTGTTCCAACTGTCTTTGGTTAATGAAACACAGCAGCGTTAACTCCTTCACTGCGCTGGGAGATAAATGTGATGTTTGTTAAGTGGACTGAAGTGTTTTTGCTTCGGGGCTGTGGGAGGAGTTCAGACCTCACTTTGACCTGTTCTGACATGAAAGCAGAGGAGCTGATAACTGTCATTCCTCTGCTTTCAGTCCATGAAGACAGTCTGTCCTTTCCTCAGTGTTAGAGACTTTCATTCATTCACAGAGAGTTCGTTCTACAGCTGTTAGAAACGTTAGAAACGTGAGTCAGGGAAACTAGAATCTTACAGACATGGAGGAAAGACAGATAGCCTTGGGCAAGGTCCGAACCCAAGTTGCTCTCTGATGCATTTTTCAGTGTGAATGTTGGATGAAAAGCGTGAAATGTGTAAGTGAGCCTCGGGTGCTTAAGAAGACAAAGACTGTGAGCAGCGGCCATGTTCTCGCTGTGCCTGCAGTGAAAAGGCAGGTCTGCTGGGTTAGCTTACGGTTCTATGTTGATATAATGCGGTGGCGCCAAAACTGTGGTTTGTAGATGTGCTACAGTTGGCTCAGCTCTCACAGCTCATCAGACAGAAAGGCCCACAGACGGGTTATACAGGTGTTTCCACGAGCTCGCCAGCATCTACCTGATGGTATCATCAGACAGAGGCGAAGGCTTTGAGTGAACAGGAACACCAACTGAATCAGCACGCCTCCTGGTTTCTGCACCGCTCTCATCCATTAACACAGTGGTTCCCAAACTTTTTTTGCTTTGTTTTACAAGAAAAATGGTCCCCGCCCCCCTGCGCACGCACAAAACATCCTCCAACCACACACACCCATATTTTGCTCCATTGCAGTTTATTTCACA